CCCATCGGTGAAGCGGCTCCCAAGCGACTTGCTTCAACTGTTTTTTTCACAGCCAAGTGCGCATTTGCATGCTCAAAAGAAGCATCAAACGTCACGAAATCGCTTGCTGTTGCGACTCCAGGAGGCAAATGCATGGAGGTCATGGAGGGAGAAATCTGGCAAGTCATCCCTGGATGAAGAGCAGCACAAGGATACCTGAAGGTCCAGAGCTGTACAAGTGAGTGGCCGCAAGTTTGATGTCCACATATGCCACGTATGTCCACTTCTTTCAAGGACCCAAGCCTCTTTCCGATCAAAGGCTTTCAGCATGGAGAGCTTTTCTCAATGCAAACTGCTCGACATGACAAGGCTGCGATTCGAACCAATGCTGCCATGCAGAGATCAAAATGTGCTCGACCGATGCCCCACCGTGACACCACGACGGGACGTGCTCGACAGCTTGACAGCGGGAGGTCACGCTTGACAGCGGTCGTGCGTGGATGGACATCGCAGGTCACGCGGTGTCACCGGGACATCCGTTTGGATGTTCGACCAATCCGATGGAGCCCAGCGGTTCCCCACCGATGGACTGAAGACAAGGTCCTCGTCTTTTGTTTTTGTTTTGCCGCGCTTCTTCGTTGTGGGATCCGACGTCACGAACCACTCCCATGATCTAAGTGGATCTACAGTATGTGCCAAGACTCCCGAAGTGCAGAATATGGTGCAGGGATGATCACAATATACTCCAAAATGGTTTCAACCTTTGTTTCCTCATTCGTCAATTGCTCTCTAAACAAGCCCCCGAGAATCAGAGCTGAAGCGCTTCAGCCATCGCCATTCCCAGCCTTGCAATCAAGGCTGCAGCGGCTTCCTAGCGAAGCTTTCCTTGAGGCCAGGGGAGCTGGGGTTGGGTTTGACTGCACCAGCACCTCCATTCGCTAGTTCGAGGTGTCCACTAGGTGAGGAAGCTATACCTTAAGCATTTTATAAGAAACCACAGATTCATTTAAAGTGATTAGGTTTTTTTTGTACAGCATTCACACCCTCCCATGATTGTGTTTAAGATGACCTCAAAACAAGAAACACACACACACACCATCTCCGGTCTCATCCAGTATCCGAGGCTTGGGTCCTGCAGGCCAAGAGCGTGTTGACGGACTTCGAAGCCGAGGACCGCCGTTGGGGCCGTGGGGATCCACCACGCTCGGCTCGGTCGTGCCGCGCGTGGTCCCTTCGGTGTCTTCATCGTGAAGGTCAAGATACCGAAGGAACAAGGCAACTGGGTGAAACACAACACACATAAACACAAATGTTTACATTCTTTTTATATGCATCAAGATGTATTGTCCTCCCCGATCCAGCATTTTCCCACCACCTTGTCTCCCAGAGCACAGCATGGACGGCTCGGGTTTCGCTCAGCCTGAGGAGCTCCTGCTCTGCGATCGCAGTTTCAAGCAGCTGAACGTGACGAGCCCATGGCGTGTTTCGGTGTCTGGGGCTTCCGTCGCTGTCGAGGTGTTCTTTGTGTTTTCTTTCTCGTGTGCTGCGCGAATTTGTTTGAGCACAGCAGAGCCGCTTCAACGGTTTGACTTGCAAAAAGTTTTTAATTGTATGTAACTGTTCATCAATGTGGGATAATTTGATCAGAGGTCCCGATGGTGACTGATCATTGAGAGGTCGAGGTTTGGATTGCACATATTTGCGACATATTTGCACTTACCTGTGAAAACATTGCAGTTTTAGTAGTTCAACACGACTTGATCGAGCAACAATTTAAAGGTGAACATCCCACAACTTTAGACTCATGTCATTGTTTCGTGTCGACCGAGGACTTCACGTCGGCATCGACATGAAGCGCGACCCTTTAGGGACTCTTCGACTCCTGCCAACATGGAGGCTGTAGGACGCCAAAAGTGCCGTTTTGTCCAAACAGAACGGATGGAGGATACGGTTCGTTTGTCCAGCAAAACTCTTTTCTAGGAATGCATGTCTTCTTCTTCTTAGATTGAGGCGATTGAGGATGGTGACGCCAAAGCAGGGGATTGTTTTGTGCCAGATAAGGTAGTTGGGCTCAAGCTTGAGCCCACTAGCCATACAATGACTCACCGAACCAGCTAGAAACTTTAGAAACTTGATGAAACTTGCCACCGGGACCTTGTGTTTTCTTTTGGGGGGAATGTCCAACATCGTGTCGAAACGTAGATTGCCCTCCTAACCCTGTAAGATGCGTGGGAGATTATAGGAACATGGGGAGGTTTGCTGTCAGCAGCCCCTCCCTGCGCAAGCTTCAAGCTAGTGATGAGATTCGATTTGGAGATATGGATATGAAGCTTGAAGCTTCTCTCCTTCCTTTTTTCCCTGCGAGCGAATTGTCTTGTCATAGTCTTGGGAACGGAATGTCAAACCCAACGGGCTCATACGCAGCCGGCAGCCTCCATTTCTGTACATAGCCAGCTCGACAGCGAAGGTCCTTGAGGGGGGACGAAAACGACAAATTTGGGCTGAATGCTTTGGAAGAGAGCTGACACCGGGTGCAAAAGACAAGGGACCCAACTGTGCTGAGTCAGCACAGCCAAGACATACCAAAACAGTGCCTCAAGGACTTGCATGGAGCCACAGTCCCAGTGCTTAGTTGGCACTCCCTCAAGCCTGGGTTCTGATCTTCTTCAGTGTTCTTTTAAAGTTGCTGGTGTTAGGAACTGGTGAGCGGCGGATTCGTAAGAAGTGTTGGATTAAGTTAGATGCATGTAGATGGCTAACTTGCTGGGTGTGTGGAACTGCAATATATACGAAGCATATATGAAGCATGATTGGTTAATCCTCAGATGTGACCCCTATAGGCATACACCTCACCATAATTAGGGTATGCTCACAGTCCCATCCGCTGCCTGCAATTTAGTGTCTCAAGCGTTTCTGGTGTTATTCAAATCATGTTTGCTAAGTAGAAACCGTCCAATGCATTTTGGGACCAGGGGCAAGTTCTTCCACTTGAGGTCTGCGGTGTCTCAGTATGACGGATCACGGCCCATGGGGAACCCAGCCCATCAGGACTTCCGAAAGGTCCAGCCCTTGTCATGCTGTCCAGCTCGGTTGGGTTTTCGGACTGGTCAGGAGTGTGACGTGATGCGACATGTTATGATGGCAATACCACTGACTCCAGTGATGGTTCACCAGCAAAGTCCTTTCTGGGAATTGGGAACACCTTCCTAATGACACGGAAAAAGATCTTAGAGAGAAACTGAAAGGGTCTTAGATTGCCAAGATAGGGATGAGTCACCTTGGGTGACGAGCTATAGAATAGATGGGCGGAGAGATACGTGGATACTCAACCACAGAGTGCCAAGTGGCCAAAGGCCAAAAAAGGCGAAGGAACGTAGCCTTGCCTTGAAGCTGTGGCAAGTGCGAGATGACTTGGTCATGCTCACATTCCTGCTGTGTTGGGCTTTGGCAATTAAGTTTGCCTGGCCAACATGCCACCATGCCTCCCCTGTGTAACCTGCGGTACAGTCGCGCGGCCCACGTTTCGGCACAGAAGAAAGGCAGGGAGTGTGCGCAGCATGGGTTTGAACCAGCTCTAACATTGAACTGGAGTAGCCCAGGTTGTGGTAGCTGGCTTTCACATTCCCTGTTGTTTGTTTGGCCATGTTTGGCCAATTCCCCGCCTCATCCCAAATGACCTTTTGAAGTGCTGCAGAGGTCTCAAGGTGTTTCTCTCGTGGCTGCTCTCGGACAGGTGGTGGGTTACCGCGTAGGCATTGATCAAGAAGAAGGGCGAGAAGCTGCCAATACTTGTGAAGCAGAAAGCTTTTGAGAAAAAGAACCACGATTTCTTTAGACCCAAGACTTGTAAAGTGTTGTGTGTTCATCATGTTCAAAGAACTGCTTCCGTAGTGGGTGGAACCGGGCCAATGGTGCATCCAATTTGGAGAGATTGGGGTATGCGGTGACCCATTTGGAACGTCTTCGGGTGTTTCCAAAACAGGTTCATCATGGTTCATCTCCCAAAATCTCCACCCTGGAAGAGCCCAGTTAAGTATAGAGCCATGTTTTTTCCACGAACACCTCAGTCGATCACACCTTTGCACCCGGCTGTTCGAAAAAGGAAGGATTTTCTGTTTCAGATGATTCTTCCAAAGGAAAACACACCTATCCGGGGCGCTCCCGCCGGGATTTCAGCGGATGGCAACTGAGCAATGTTGTCCAATGAATCCTTCTGACTGTTTCCAAGGTTGGATCGCCGCGGCTCGTTTGGAAGAGGTGGCCGGTAAGGCAGGTGTTTGTGTCAGGAAGATCCGATTGCCGGGATGCGGCTCAGACAATCGTTCGACCCAGAGATCAAGAGATCCACTAATATAGGCTATAAGTAGCTTCTTGTTCCTAGTAGGGATGCCAGTTGTTCCTAGTAGCATTCTTGCTCCTAGTAGTACGACCAGGAGCCCCTAGTAGCTATATAATCTATATATACAAGTCATGTTTGTTTTCCTCTATGAGAGAAGACCCAGCTGATTTCAACCACTTGGCCCACTTGGCTTGACAGGTGCAATCTGCTCGACAGCTCATTGCTCAGGGGTGCAAGCATTGCCCCAACAATGAGGACGGTCAATGGGGACTTGGAAGTTCGGATTCAAAAAAAATGGAGTGGTTGATGCATTAAGAGGAATACACCCGAAATCATCCTGCATGGGAGTTTCAATCCGTTGGTCTTCGGATGGAATCCTTACTGTAGACGGTCTAAAGAGTGATTAGGAGAAACGCAACAGTTTTTGGAGGAGTCTACATAGAAGATGTATTTTTCTGCCCGAGAACCCGCTTCATGTCAAAAGCCTGGAAAGGTGTTTGCACGCGGCATTGCTTCAGGAGTGTTTGTCCTCGGATTGTTCGTCATGCCAGCAGTTCCTGCCCTTATTCCCATTGTGTGTGGTTTCCCAATGGCAGTTGACACTGCCAACATCGATGGGCAACATCCTGCTCCACCTAAATCCAATGCACGAAACATCCACAATGGCGCTGGACTGTTTCCCAACAGCAGCTGGAAGCCGGTCTTCAGTGGTATTACAAACCATGTGCAACCCTTTAGCCCGCTACAGTCAGCTGGTGTTCTTTAAACCATCAACAAGAACCTTAACTAATTAAACCATGTCAAGTGCACCACTGCACCATCATCAATTCCACATTTCAACAAGTGGTCGCCGGTTTCCATCAACCACGCCAGGGCGGCCGTTTTGTTCGGATGGACCAGGACGTGTGGCTTGAGGCCGCCCGCTTGGAGAAGCCAGCCAACGCCAAGGCGGTGCTCGCCAAGGCGAGGGAGGGAGGAAGCGGGAAGGATTTGAAGGAACTGTGTGATTGATGTGTCAACCTCTTTGGTGCGTGGGTGAAGGCCATTTGGAAACCCGGATGTTTTTTTTGTCGGAATATACACCAAAAGTCTGGTGAAGAACCCTCAACCCAACGTTTGCTCTTCTGGTTTTGGCTAAGGGGTCTCTCTCTCTCTCTCTCACACGCCCATTGGGGTATGCTTCCAAAAAAACACGCCCAGAGGTCTACATCATGTTTCATCATGTGTCGTATGGAGCTTTGACCCACACCCGACAGCCCCATCCCGCCTTGGGCTTCCTTGGCTTCGTCGACATCCACTTCGTCACTCATGAGGCGGTGAAGTCCCTGCCCCACAGCGTGCGTTTGTGGATCGACGCCGCCAACCGTGAGACGGCGCGGTGCAAACGACCCACTCTGGGGAATCCGAGGGGAAGACGATGGACGGCGGAAGACGACCGGCGAGCTGGGAGAGGAAGAGCGAGGTTTCGAGGTGTGGGCTATGACGGGTGAATTTCTGTGGCACAAGAATGGGATCTTGCGGAAATGGAAAGAGTTTCAGTTTTGAGACTATATAGTAGCAAGAAGCTAGTAGGTTTGAGGCCATCCCTATTAGGTTGGAGGCCATTACTAGTAACAAGAATGGGAAGACTCCCCAAAACTGAAGGAACGTGGACAGCCTGACAGCAAAGATTTCCGGTTTCAACAAATCCAAGGCAGGTTTAAAAGCAAATATGTCCGTCAGCGCCAGAATTCGAGTTGCTAGGAAAGCTTCGAGTTGCTGCACATGACACCACATTACTCTATCAAGCTGACACGGTTCGTAGCTGGGATCCGTTTTAATATATCATAGCTGACACGAATCCTTGGAAGCGGTGCAAAACCTGTGCACACCTGAGAGTTGGTCGAGACTCAACACGTGCTACTCCATAAACAACACAGTTCAGATGCCGTTCAGATCCGTTCAGCAAGAAGCAGTCTGGCTCGGTCACCCAGTAATCCATGCCAATTCCTGCCAGGACCTTCAAGCCAAAGGCCGTGTGCTTCGCAAGGTGTGTGGGTCGGGTCGGGGTTGAGGATGTGGTTGCCCCGTTGCCTGTAGCCTGCCCCAAATTTGCTGGTGAACAAAGATGGAGGAATTCCACAAGAATCAATCGTTACTGATAACACAAGCCTCGCATCATCTCCTCCTCACCCACTGATCACAGCTGCATGAAAACGTGAGCACCAAAAGGGGTTCGGCCTGCCCGTGCCACACGTGCCACCTGATGCCACGTGTGCCACGCGGGTGTGCGAGACGTTGAGGCCTTGGAGTTCATCCCCAACTCCGTGCGTCTTTGGAAGGAGGCAGTGAGTTTGGAGGAGCGAGCAAACGAGAAGAAACGACAAGAAACCGAGACCGAGAACGGTTTGGCACGTGCTGTCGGGGTGTGTTAATGCGGAGAGATGCCGAGTATTGGAGTTAGTTGAAAGGAAAGGTTGGTGAAATAGCGGTTTGACCCTGGTTTGCAGGAGCTGTGCTTTTTAGGGGGGTTGGAGAAGTTCCACCTATTTTATCATGTTTTGCACTAATTAGATCAGGCCTCCAACCTTTGATATGAAGGTGCATTGAATGAATCATACAGCAGGCTCTGAGAGGTGTGAAGAAGAGATAAACACTCTCGAAGAGGCACATGGCTCTCAAGGCAGGCCATGCAAATCCTTGCTTCTCCCTGTGTCTACGAATATCTTACAAGCCAAAACCCTTGCATGTGACATGTGACGAGCCTGCCCCAACTTGTGTCCCTGTAAAGCTATGCTCTTACATCAGCTTCCCACACCCAAAACACACCAATACTATCCAATCTCTATTATAGATTCATGATGATATATCAGGACTTACAACAAAGCCTCCCTGAGGCAGGCCTCGTGTTTATCCCCAGACCATGAATTACGTATATGTATAATATACATGCATATATATATATATGGAATCGTTACATAATCTACCTCAAATGTAGGCAGCTATTTACAGCCTTCGGCATGCCGCCGGCCACCAGCTCGAGCCCGCATTGGCAGGCAGCCTAATGATGCTTATTAACAGTGTTCCACAGTTCTATTTTCGTTGACAGGTCTCAGTGCAATCTGACAAAGGAAACAAAGTTCGAAGCAGATTCTGATTCTCCACCTAAGAGGGGGGGGGACAGGAGGGAGGGGGGCAGGGCAGGCCGTCGAAACATCCGCGCGGAGAAACAAACCGTAGATTGAAACCAACCGGGGCAGGGCAGGCTGTCGAAACATCCGCGCGGAGAAACAAACCGTAGATTGAAAACCAACCGTAGATTGAAACCAATGGAAACCAACACAAGCCAGACGAAGCAAGACAATCCACAAAGCCGGTACTTGAAAATGAGTCTTCTTCCAAACTACTTGGCCTTTTGCATGTTTTCCTTGTCAGATCTTTTTTTCGACCGTCTTGAGGAGTTGCGAGTCGCACAAGATATTCTTTTTCACATACAGAAGGCTTCAAAGCGACCGAAGAATTTCTTGATCTGGCATGATTTGTCGTTTTTTCTCCAAACCGTTTGAAATGAAAGACCCAGAACGACATCGAACAACAATACCCTGCTCAATCATACTTGTTGGTGCATTGGAGAGTTGCACATTTGGCTGGGTGAGGTTGTTGATGTTTAGTTCAAGGTTGTTTGACCATGGAAACGGAACGAATCCGAATCAGAGGTTGTCTATTCTGATCCAGCGATCCGAACCGGCATGTCTCAGTCGAATCACCTAAGAGGAACCAATTGAAACCAATACGAGCAATGCGAACCAAGACTATCCACAAAACATGACCTTGAAAACGATTCTTCTTCCAAACTACTTGGCCGTTTGCATGTTTTCCTTTTCAGATCTTTTTTCCGACCGTCTCGAGGGATTGCGACACGCACCAGATATTCTTTTTCACACACAAAAGGCTTCAAAGCGACCGAAGAATTTCTAGATCTGGCATGATTTGTCGTTTTTTCTCCAAACCGTTTGAAATGAAAGACCCCGAATGACATCGAACAACAATACCCTGCTCAATCAGACTTGTGGGTGCATTGGAGTTGCACATTTTGCTCGGAGAGTTTGTTGATGTTGATTTCAAGCGAAGTCGTTTTACAATGAAATGGAACGAATCCGAATCAGAGGTTGTCTATTCTGATCCAGTGATCGACATGTCTCAGTCCAATGGTTGTCTATTCTGATCCAGCGATCGACATGTCTCAGTCCAATCACCTTAGACGTAGAGAGGGCGGGGGGGGGCGTCAGGCTGTCGAAAAATCCGCGCGGAGATACAAACCGTAGATTGAAACCAACACAAGCAATACTAACCAAAACAATCCACAAAACACGCCGGCAGGCCGGCGGATTCCAGAAATGCATGGTCAGGGATCCTAGTTACATGGATGATTTGGAGTAGAGATACCAGTCATTCCACCTTCGTTTGCTAGGACGAGACCGAAGCACGCGTGATGTTGAGCCGCGCCGTGGAATGTGTGCCGCACTCGGCCGGGACGCCCGGTGAAAAGAGACTCCGGGCAATTCATGTGGAATGTTCGGAATCATGTACAAAAATGTCAAGTGTTTTTCCACCGAAAAAGACTTCGACCCAAGGAATATCAGCAGATCTAATTGGGTAATGGAATATCTTGGCAAGTTCCAACATTCCCATATATTCCCATGCACACCCTGAAGTCTTTGGATTTATTTGTGACCTAATGTGGGGCAGAGATACATTATACTTTCACATTCCAACTTGGTTTCTTAGCCGGCATTTGTGTGTAAATGTGCCAGTTCCCTCATATCCCTCATATCCGCAAGCAGTGAGACAAGCTGCGGGAATTGCCGTGATTTTCCGTGCCTTCACCACGCAACATGGATTCATTCTGACACCTCGGTGTGGCTCGGTGGCTCCGAACCCTGGGTGGCTCGGTTCCAAATGGTTTCATCCCACAGTGCCGTGCCTTCTCGGAGTGTTTTTTCCAGTTCAGGTGGAAATGTGGCTGGCGCTGGCGAAGCTGTCAGCCTACAAGGAGACCAGCCCAGGTGTGTGAAGTGGCCACGGAGAGCAAGGTGGTTCACCGGTGGTCGACCTGAGTCCCAAACGTCGAGTTGAGCCCCCTGAATCAGCATGCCAAACATGCCCTAACAGGTGGGCAGAGTGAATCAACTTGGGATGTTGATTTGTCAAGCCGCAAGCCTGTTCTCTATTTTGGAGTAGTACTCAATCGTACCCAACTTAACTGATCCCAAATTCATGGTCTGAGCTTTGGAACGACTGGACTGGGTAAATCAGGAAGTGTAGGGAATCAGACAGCGTGGGCAATGGTCTTGGTGCCTGATATTTCGTTGAGTTTCTCGTGTGCACTTTAAATGTTAGAGAGAAGATCCGACAGTACCACTGCAGATGACGATTTGACCTTCAAGTCGACCTCCAAGAACGAGGTTATGATCGTTGGATCAGTGGGACATGTAAGTATATATTTTCAACCACACCAACAGTCATCCCTAGAGAAAATCCCTAACTGCTCCAAGAACATGTTTTCCTTTGGGCTCCATTTTCTTGTGGTCGGTCAGATCCAAAATGGCTCTACGTGTATTGAACGATTCATTGAGAAACCGAAATGAACCGAGTCCTCTAGACCCTAGTGTTATCCATTTATACGATATGAACACTCCACACATGGCCATACCGCGTCCGTGGGTCTTCTACCCGCCACACCTTTGCCGCCCTGCAGGACGCCCAGAAGGTCCTCAACGAAGCGCGCAAGCACATCCCGTGCCTCGGTTGGAGCGACCACATGCGACCACACTGGTCACGGATCCGACGTGGAAGTTGTGGAAATGTGCTCATGGAAATGTTCTGAAATTACACTGAGATGTGAATTTAATGATCCAGATATATCCAAACAAGATAGTGTATCATCGACACATTGAAGACATATTATTATGGATAGATGGAATGAGTTGCTAATAGGTTGGTGCGGTTGGGTTTATCAAGCTAAAGATGGCAAGATGCATTGTGTGATTGCTTACTTGCTATTCCGTTTTGATATGTTTAATGACAATGGTCATCCCATTCACACACGCCACATTACACCACCATCACTCGGTCAGTACCTGTTTCGTGGATCAGGATATGTTCGCATGTTGAGGAGAAGAATAAGTTAAAGTCAACTCATGAGAGTTCTTGCGCAAATCGTCTCAACTGAATTTGTGCATAAGTCCATTGGTCCACCTGTAAAATCTGAGAAAGGTTATTAGGCAGCCAAGCACACAAAGGTCCAGTAATGGAACATGGTTGTGTCATCTAAAGAGAATATGATAATCAACTTCAGTGTCACTGCCAAAGGGTCCAGAAACATCAGTTACACGATGACTTGTAGGAATGCGGAGAGCTTTGACACGTTGGAGCCAGCATTGGCACACTGGCACACTGGTTAGTTGACATCGATCAGGAGGTCTCCCAGTGGGGTGTTCAGAGACAAACCTAGGTCAAATCAGCAGTAGCTTTGGTTTTTGAACTCCTTATTGGAATACCACATAAATTTGGGCGGCTGCCTCCTATGTTGGGCTTGTGGTCCTGCTCCCTTCGGACCCACTGGTGCGGTGCTTCCCCGCCCGGTCCACCTCGGATCGCCGAGGACCAGCCCTGTGATTTGGGTGACCGTCGGACAGCCCAGCGAAAGCAGGTCCCGTGAAGGGTTGGTGGTGGTCCATGAAAGTGGTCAAAGCACCAATGGGAGCTTCACGACAGAGGTGCAGCAACGAAAAATACCGATGTGTTCGTTCTTGGTAGTTCAGCTAATCAATAGTACTGTGCCTTCACAAATGTACATGTTGTGAAGCTGGAACATGTGGTTCCAAGTTTGACAGTGTATCTTTTTCAGAAGGGACATGGATTTATATTAATTTCACTCGTAGATCCTGCACAGCCTGAAGCTTAACGCCGGCTTAAAGGCTACTTGTCAGCTCAAGTTGGAAGAGTTGGACATTCTGGGGAGGGCTCAGCTCTCACTATTGTGAACCTTTGGGACCTGTTACACCCATGTGAACCACCCATGTGAACCACCCAAAACACTTACGTGACCTGTCCTGTCCGGGATACCCCTGTGTCCACAACCGGGATTGGACCAAGGCTGCCAAGCTGGAAGAGACTCAGGGCAACGAGAAGATGGTGCGCACGTCGCAGGGGTGACTCACCTATCGTGCAATCAGGAACGGATGGACATCGAAGCGAAAGGGGTATGGACACCGCAGCGAAAGAAAAACGTCTTGAGGTTTGTTGTGAGGGTGAATCGGTCACAAGCAGTTCTTCAAAAGTGGTAGAAATCCGAATTCATATGATGGAGACTGATTCAGCCCTTCAGGCTACAGTTTTTAAGTATTAATAGATGGCACACCTTCAGCTTCGGGTGCTTTGTATTGTAGGATTTCCCATGTAAAAGCAAGATCTGTGTTTTTGTTGTGTCATGTATGGTGAACTCGATGCTCTTTTGCACAAGAAGCACCAGTTTGTTCTGCAACTCCTTTGCTCACCTTTGATGGGGATGAGCGTATGAGCTCAATTCAGGAGATCAGTCACTTCAGCAAAAGCTTACAAATGAGAGAACTACCCCAAATTCACTTCAACCTACCAAGATGCCACATACTTCCCTTCACATCCACGTACTACCCGGCTACCCGAACCCCACCAGAACTCGCACACAGCGCGTCCGCAGCCTCTCACGCCTCCACAGCGCGCGCCAGGTGGAGCTGATTTTGACCCGCGCGATCGACTCGTTGGCAGCGAATGGCGTGACTCCCGACCGTGACATGTGGCTGAAACAGGCTGAAGAGGCGGTGGAAAGAGCTTGGGATGTATGTGGTGGCAGGGGTTGGTGGGATGTATGATAGCATTGGAAGTGTTTGAGAATGTTTGAGACGCTACTGACATCTGGAAAAGAAGACTTTATAGTGCTGCAAGGTAGGATGGTTGCTTCGTGTTCGTTGGCGTTCTGGGATCGTTCTCGTTTCACTCATCCCATGAGAAATCCACGGTGGGGAGAAGGATGGGACATCCATGGTAGTTGAGCACAGATAGGACCTGGTGCAGCAAGAATACTCCCATGGGACCAGGGCAAAGAGGAAACAGCAGAAACAGCTGATCTTCATGGTGAGAACCCATGTAATTTGACTTTAAAACTAACCAAACCAACAGAAGCAGAAATGCTAAAACACCTTTTCTCTACGTCAAGCGCTTTTTGAGCTTGGAACTTGTCCGCTCAAGATGCTAGGTGGATTCAGATTGCACATGTTCATTCCAAGGAACCTCCTCGGAACCTCCCGGTGTTGAGTCTTTGGACCTTGGTCAAACCAAGGAGGCGACGACTGGATCAACCGACTGGATCATCACTCGTCCGTTGTGAAGACGAGTCCGGTGAGGGCCCGGTCACGGCCGCACGCTTCCTCCCGCGTCGACACGTTCATCAGTGTCCGGTGAGGGCCCTCTTGGCAATTCCTTATGAATCCCACTCGTGAGACAGAGAACCCAACACGCCAGTCCACTCAGTCGTTTGAAACTGGTAGTTGGTCATTGCTGGGTCCCCAAGTGCTGGTCGTCACTTGTCGCTCCCGGAGAGGCAGAGAAGACTGGCTTCATTAAGACGTGCCAAGCCATCATCAAGGTCACCATCAAGGCACCGGTAAGCTTGCTGTGGATCGACAGATCTTCTGATAGATGGTCTCAAGCGATTTTTGGCTGACACATTTGACCAGGTGGGTGTGGACGAGGATGTGAAAGGCATGAAGCAGAACTGGATCCAGGCGGGTTCACTGCGCAGAGGTGGTGACCAGCTGGAAAGCAAGTACCGAGTCGTACCGAGTCCAAAAAGAGTCCAACGAGCATTCTGTTCATGTGTAGTAACTCTATACGCGCGGTACTAATGGGCTTGGTCCAACAGCCATGTGAGAAGCCACTTTAGTTTGCTCGTAGTTTTTGTTTGGTCTATTTGTGTCATGTTGTGTCTATATAATTGAAGAAAGAGAAGTGAATTTCAGTCACAACATTAGATTAAGAACCTTTGGGCGTGAAGTGTGTGGTATGTGAGTAGGGTGTTTCAACTTTCTCTCCTGTCTCTTGAGCCGCCATACAATCAACTCAAGGTAAATGGGTCGCAGGCAAACCAACTATGTCCGAAAACCGAAGACTCAGACAAGCGAATGATCAAACTAAGCGTGTTATCTGGTGTTTGTTTTCTTTGCTTCTTGTCCCGACTACATGGAACCAGCCGTTGGTCCCGACTACTATGCCGTGCAGGATGCAGACGCTGCCATCAACAGAAACTCCATCGAGGCGAGGATCACAGCTGGCTGACCTGGTTTTGCAGAAGATATTTTTCCGAACTGGGTAAATCCTCTCCCCACCGTTGGGATCAGCTTGACTTAGTGAGTAGTCACCCCTAGGATTTGAACGGTATTGACTTTGTATAAAAGGTTGTGTTTCGATGGTCATTCTACTGGGGTTGGTGTATTCTTGACTGTTGGATGGATGGTTTCGAGTCTTTTGTGTCGCCATCCTAGACACCGATGCTCACTCGATGTTGTTGATCACTGTCCCAGGCACTCGTTGGGCAGTGAAAACGCCTGCTGCATCAGGTGGCCCGAGCGATCTACAACAATGCGGTGATGCACTTGAAGGGCAAGAAGGTCGCTTTACAGAGTGTTTGGGTCATGGTTTGGGTTCTAAAAACAGAGTGTTTGGATGCTTGACCGGAGGGGGAAGTGCAGGCACTACAACTGACTAAATGTGTTTTCTTCCGTCAGTTAAGACTACCTTTTGGAAGCTCCTAGTCTCATCTATTCTCAGACCCAGACATGAAGACACTGATTCCGTACGTCACCCTCTTCGACTCTGGACCACTCTCAGGGCCTTTGGCTGCGCCTGGCGGAGCTGGAGACGAAGTATGGCAACGCGGAATCCTTGGACAACGTGCGGCCTCCCGGGTCGCCGCGATTGGACGGGTCGGCCTTTTTGTTTTAAGCACGCCCTGAGTCAATTAGGTAGGCGCCGACTTAATTAAGTAAGGATGTAAGCTACTAGCAAGAGGAAGCTTCTAATTAGCTAGGACACAGGATAGCTCGCTCATGTGAGAAGTAGTGTGGATGCTTAGTTTTCAGTCAACCCTAGGAGGGACAACCAGAACTGCAGCTCACATCGCAGCAAAGCCACCTGGACCTAGCTCTAGGGGTGTATCCAATCAGCCCAGGAGTTTCTGAAGACCTTCGGCCGGATCACGCTGCGCTACGCCGCGACCGCCAGCCGGCCGCTCATGAGGTGCTGCAGCGTGCAGTGACCTACTGTCCCCATGCTGAGATCTTGTGGCTCATGGTCGGGTTTCCAAAGGGAGTGGAGCAGAATGATCAGAATGCAGCTGTCGATGATGACAAACACCTGGCAGATGTTGTTTGCTTGTTCACAAAGGCAGTTTTTGCATGGTTTTGTTGATGTTGTTAGGCCCTTTCTGGCATCTCACTTCGGAACAGAATTTAAGAACTCCAAAACAATGATACTGTGTCACCAATTAACTAAACAACCTGATCTTTGGACACATCCCAGAGTTTTGATCTACCCACCAGGCCAATCCTTTCCCTAAAGACTTGCCAGACTTGCCTTTCAACCACCTCGAAATACTTTGACCATCTTGCCATCCAAGGCGGCCAAGCAGAAGTGGCTCCGTGGAGATGTGGCTTCGGCGCGAAGGTGGCTCCGAGTCGGTCGAAAGGGTGTTGGCGCGCTTGGACTCCGCTTCACAGAGGTGCGGTTTCTGAAGAAGGCGGCCTTTTTGTGGTTGATGTGAAGATTCTAATATAGCTTCTTGTTACTACTAGTAAGGCACTTGTTACTAGTAGCGATGCACTTGTTCTTAATAGCTTCTTGTTACTACTAGTTGGAAAGCTTTCGGATGTTTGTTTTTCAGCACAACTACTCTAATGCTTTTTGAGGGGCCGCTGGTGATGGAATTGTTTGCTTTGGGACACCCAAATTACCACATCAAAATACTGTCGTCCCTTATCATATATAAGGCAATGAAGATACACATATTGTAAATATATATATTGCCATTTGCATATTCCTGTGGCCCTAAATGAATGGCACAAGCCAGAACCGGCAATCTGGCCGTTCTTCATATTCATATATTCTTGTTTGCTATTTCTTGGCATGTTCGGACTTCCCAGTGGGTCGGGTGCACTTCCCTCATCGTTTCACCCGGTTTCACCGGACCATACCGTGCGAGCTTTTTGGAGGATCCTGGCCGAAGCCTTCAGTCACTCCAAAGAGTCAGAAGCGATTCACTTGGCCGCCGCCGGGGGGCTTTGTATTTTTGTTTCGGATGCGAAGGGGAGGTGGGTGAGGGAAGGTCAGTGTGGAGTTGGGTGATCAAAAGATTAAAGAAACGAGAGCTGTGAGATTGGTCGAAGCGGCCCCACCACCTTTTGCCAGCAAAATCATGTCCATTCATCATTTGCTGTTCATGTGTGTTTTTTTTTTTCCATTGTCTTTCGACATCCAACACGATCTTTCGCGTGACCCCGACGAAACAGGGGTTCACCCAACGAAACCCGAAGGGACACACCAATCCAGGTGAAGCTGGAGAGTGAAAACAACGAGATTCAGCGAAGCCGTCTGCTGCTGGCTCGAGCTGGATGGCCCAGTGTCGGGATGCAGCCGGTGAATAGGAAGTGGAAGATAGATGGGCCAAAGAGATGGTATGAACACTCTGTTTGCAGACTCCTTGAGTTCCTGATTGGGTGTTCTTTCAGGGTATTGTATATTTCATGATATGTCATATGTCAGCATCCAAGTGATTTGGTGGGAAACGCTCATAGTGTTGTTATACACTCTGTTTGAGGAATCGATGTTGTGCACAAGGTGTCCAGTTGTCTCCTGACACCCTACTCATCCTTACTCTTTCTCCTGAAGCTACTCAGCAGCTCCGTGCTGCGGATTTGGAGGTTTGTTGAATCTTTTGTTGGACTTGGAATGGAGTCTGGACACTAATAAAGGCCTTTCCGCAGCCCTGCAATGCGCTGCCTCTTGGGTTGCAACCGAGGGAGCCTCTTAGCTAACGCAGCTTGAAACGACTGAGGCCCGTCAGCAGTGTAACACGCCCAAGGCCACTGGGTGCGATGCTTGGGAGGAGACCAATCGAGGAGGGATGCTCTAAGTGGGGATGGACGCTTGAATTGTGACGGACACTGGCGAACACGTAGGGTTTTTGCATGAAGCAGCTGTCAATCCTAAGACCAAAAGATAGGACCAATGGTGAATGGGAGATCTTTGGACTGAGACTATGCTATTCTCTTCATTTTTGGTGAATGATTAAAACTATAAATATTGCCTTATACTGCCGACTCCACAGGGTCCCTGTCAGATTCATCACATTTCTCGCAGATATATGTGGTACCGAGAGGGAACCTTAAACATGCTATCCTGAGAGTTGCAACTGTTCTAAAGTATCAAGCGTGTGTATTGAGATGTATTGAGCAATTTGTTGGTGTCCAACATCGTTTGGTTTCCGAAGACGGATCTAGATGTTTGTCAGCGGGTCGATGGTCGTGAACTGCATTGACCTTGCCAACCAGCAGGCGGGCAGCCAACTATAGCATATGGCATGCGGAGCAATAGCACATCCTCGATTAGGATCAAGCTACTGTACAGGGGAGGAGTTTTAGACTGCTTGTTGACAATATGTGTCATTTTGAGAGGAGCAGACACTCCAGAATCAGTGGGTCCTCGTTGCAGTGGCATGCCCAAAAGGTCGGGTGAAAAGAAAAGAAAACACCAATTGTTTCACTCAGGATTTCAGGCCTACATACACTTCAACACACCCGACGGTCAAACCGTTTCATTTGGATCAGGTCTGGATGCAGTCAGTTCAGCTGGAGAGGGAGCAAGGTGCGTCCTGCGAAGAGACCCTTTGTGCTTTTGATGCAATAATCAACCAGTGGCCCCATTGGCCCTGTGTCTGAAAATCTAGATTGATTACCTTACTGGAACTGTAGTTCACTTCTGCCACTCATAAAGCCTTGTGTTTGCCAATTCATGCCAATTCCATTCGGCATGCTGGTATCAAGCTTTTAGTGTTTATTGGTTACCATAGAACTATGTGCACAATGTCCACTCCCATGATGAATGTGCCACACCCACTGGGGCTTGGCGCACCACCGCATGCCAGGCAGTTGGGACCCTTTGGCAGCAAAACCTGCTATCTCCTTGACACCCACCAGTCCCATTGCGCCCATTGGCCCCACCCAACGAGGAAATCTGGACACCAATCTGCCAGTCATCCACCCCAGCAGACCCAATCAGCATGTGGACTGAAAACTCCCCTCGCTTGGAGGGTCGGTGTCATGGCACGGCACGAATGCTGAAAGATTTGAAAGGCAGTCTGGAAGGAGATGATGATACATTTTATGGTAGTTTGCGTTGTGTAGTGGAAGAGCAGGGCGCCCAGACTCCTGATCACTTGATGGCGTGTTGGCTGACCAACTGGCGCAAGTGGTGAGCATTGCTACGAACTGAACACTTTGACAACAGCCATTGGGACTGGTCCCCTTCAGCGGACAGGCAGCTCCGTTTAGGCAATAGGACTCTGCGGATGGCATAGACTTTGATCTTGAGCTCTGAGAATGTCTAAAGGTTGTGCAAATTTCGCTAGGTGTGCGTCAAACTGCTGCAACCTACAGCGCTGAACAGGGTTTTCAAGCGGACTGAATTTGTAGAGCTCCGCGACAAGAAGGCCAGGATCGCAAGGCGAGTTGATGGCTTTGGGTATCACGTCCTCAGCACATAAAGATTCAATGCCGGACGCTGTGGCCATAGAAGGGAGGCTGGAAAAGGCATCACTGGTGCAGCAACGGACCATGAGTATGATTGCAAATGCAATGTGGGCGATTGTGGGCAGCTCATGATGATGAACGGGGGCTGCTACGAGGGCTCAGGAAAGTGATTATCACTTGCTGTGAAACACGACCGCAGTGAGGTCCGCTGGTCAGCCCATCGAGCATGGCGAGCATGGCTTCAGCTCCAATTCGTTATTTGCAGCTGGTACATGGGCCTGACGGCCTGACCAAAAAATGACACTGAACAAAGAGGGTCGTTTCAAAGGAAACACTAGAGTGCACTCTTCATGGGTCGACAACTTGTGTGCTTTTGTTGTGCTGTTTTGACAGTCCCCTCGCTTGTGATCATTGTTATCGCTGTGTCCATTGTGGGACTGCGTTCTGCAAGCTGTGGAACAATAGGATGAAAAGGGTCATTGTTGCCGGGTGTGGGAGCAGCTAATTACTGTAATGGTACATATACAAGGTACTATACTGCAACCATATGGTACAATGCTAAATGATCGTATAAAGATGTATAAAGTATAATGACATATATGACTGTAATACTAAAGTATAACCTGGATCACTGAATGAAGAGCCGCCTTGGTTCCGCCAGGTTTGTACCAGCAAGCCTTGCACTTGTCAGAGGAGGGTCTCAAGGAGCAAGAGTCATGTGAGGTTTTCAGGGCAGAGGGATCTATTACATGTCAAACATGTAAGTAGTAAGGACAAATTAGTTGCAGTGTTTCTTCATTGAGAATATGTGATTACGACACTGATCCAACAAACTATGTAAAGATGAGGCCTCAGGCGGCCTGAGGCCTTTCTCAAGGTTTGAACCCACATGATCCACACATGTGCCCTCCACCGTCTTGTGGCCTTCGGTTGCGGAACGACACTCGCTGGTTGTCGCCCGTTTGGGGTTTGGATCTATCTGTCCCAAGGAGTGTTGCAGGTTGCGGGGACAAACCGTATGAGGTTCGGTTAGATTCCCACAAGGTTCACTGGTAGCCGAAACACTTGCTATTTGTATACTTTGCAGCCCTTACTGTGGTCCAAACTATTCCGTGGACATTATTTGAGTGTGAGATTCCCTTCTGCGAGTGCAAGAGGAACGAAGTGTTAAAACCAACCTTGTTCCTTCAGGAGCACCCTTCCTTCGCAAAGATGTGGATGATTGGTGGGCAGATCCACATGGAAAAGCCTGGAGTCCAGGAGTTGGCAGGAGTCGGAGATGGGTGGAATTGTGGAATGGAACTTTTTTATATGGAGCAACATTACATCATAAAGCTCGGGCCTTTCAAGTATGACGTATTTATATAGAATCATGTATCATTTATCTACATAAGGTGGTTTCAGGTCTCCATGTAGGTATACAATGCCAATCTGTGGAGTGTTTTGATTATGCAGTGTATTAGGGTAGCGATGTCACCTCCGACGGCGTACTTCTCGGAGGGTGTCCAGGCAAGGACTGTGGAGACGGAGATGAACTGCTTGAACTCGACCTCCTGCGCCAAAGCAGTGCACTGCGAAACATCGATCCTACTACCACCAGCCCATGGATCGATGTTTCGATACGTGGACAGTTCACCTTCGAACCTTTCAAACATGTTCAAACGAGCTGGAACATGTCCAACAAGAGATACACTCTTCGAGCCTGAGTCACCCTGATTTTTTGGAGTCCCAGCGGTCCCAGCGGCCAAACGGTCAGGTCGAAAGGGTTGAGGTCTCGTCTCGGGTCGTGCCACCCAGGTCACCACCAGAGCTGGCGGAGGCGGGAGGTTGACCATGGAGTGTTTAGACCCGGAAAGAACAGGAGAAACCACACTGTGGAAGAACAGGATTCCAAACCTTTGACATCCTTTGACCAGGTTATGATTCGGAACTTTCTGCCATCCCGTATTGGTAACATGTGATTGACCTGCCGGTGTTACACTGAAATCCCGAACGATGCTTCTGGAGAAACCCTACTTTGAAGTCAGGAAGTTGCAGGGACTGATGGGAATTCAGGGATGCAGAGATTGAACACTTGTTTCTAGTTTTGTGGAATTGGCAATCAACTGTTCACTCCCAAACTGACTTTTGCGTCATCAATCTGGTCTTCTGTTACCGATGGAGTGACAGCACCCTGTTTAGTGAGAAACAAACACACTCTGGGCCCATGGAACATCTTCAGGAAATCTGTTGGCTGAAATATAATGGCGAAGTTCTCGTGCTGCCTCTTCAGGAATTCAGGTTGCTTGACAAATTTTGAGAAATTTGGTTGGTTCAGAGCTGTGCTCAGATCACTTACTTGAACAATTTTTTGGATCGGTGGATAAAGCTGTTGCCAGCAGTATACAAGGTTATGCTTCATCGCATTTGATTTGTCTTGAAGGCTACGAAGTTCTTCGAGCGCGGTCTTCAGAAGTGCCCCAGCCATTGCCTCAGACCGGCCGCCATCGGTTTGACCAACCCGTCGGCCCAACGGGTGCACCCAAGCTAAGAGACCCCTGGAAGGTTGTTTTATGTTGTTTTCATGATTGGAGTACCCTCAAGATACCAACATGATAGGTGTGGTTTCACATGTTGGAGTACCCCTGATAGGCTGTTTTCGTTTTTACTAGTAACTAATGATTGGTGAGCCTGGTTTTCCTTTTTTGTTTTTTCGCAAAGCCTGAGCATTGCGGCGTAACCTTGCGCAAAGCTCGCTTGTCGAGCACCTGATGCTCATGCATCCAAAACTCTGTTCCTTCATAGCTGCAACCCTACAAGCTACAGCTATCCTGCTGCTGTTTGTAGACCATTGAACATTTAGAACAGCAACGGAGAATTTGCACAATAGTTACATAATCAATTGTTTCGACTTCTGCACCTTATACCTACTTGAGGAGGACAGTCGGATGAATTCTGTTGATCCAAGGGAGCGTGCCTCTGTGGCTGTGCGCCGTGGAATGTGAGTGGGCGGCCCAGCTGATTTTGCAGATCTCAGATGCATCTCAGAGTAGCATGTTCTTTTTTCCACACTTCATAGATATTCCTATGCGAAGCCATTCTGGAAAGAGTATGTCCTTGGGATTGTTTTCTGTCACATGTTTCATGTTTCGTATCTATTTAGGATGACCAAAAAATGCACGATACACATCTCCTGGTCCAGGAATAGATAAAAGAGATGAAATCCCACTGAATCGACTCCTTTCCATGGTTTGCTTTTGTTGCCAGAGGATATCGACCAGAATCCTTTGTACTGCAGGAGCTCGAATCGGTTTGATCTTTGTAGATGGTGGTTCTTAGGTTTTACTGGTGCTGGGGTTGACTGTTCGCATTTGGATCAAGTGACTTTGAACTTACTTGTTGAATACAAAAAGCAGATTTCAGTTGTTTGAGCAGAAGATCTTGGAATATGGCGTTGAATACATCCCTTTCCCACAATAGTCTGTAACTTGCGGTAACGACCGAACGTTCTCACCGCCCTAAGGATCAAGCAGCAGAAGTACACCAAGGTTTCACTCCGTTGCCCGGTTCTTTGGTCAGTGCAGGTGTGTCCTATGAAAAGGTGTTTCAGCATGGTCGAATCTATAGCTCGGTCATGTTCGGTCTCTTTTTTGGTGTTCCTTATCTTGAGGTAGCCCGTCTATGTCCATTTTTCAAAAGTGTAAAGCATCATCCACTAGACCATCTAGTAACAAAGGACTGTCTATCAAAAGGACGTCTCTCTCTCTCTCTCTATCTTTCTGTTTCACCCAAAATTGTAAACTTTCTCCACAATGTGATATTCGGGAAAGACATTGAGTCCTGTGTGTCTTCGGAATCGACGTTGCGTATGCGCCACTGCTACACTGCTACTCACTCCTCGGGAGGGATGGCCGAGAGGTGGCAAAAAGTTCTTCCATGTTCTTCCAAACATCAACATTCCCTTTTCACGCCAAGCGGTTGCTAAACTGGGGCACCAAAACCCGGGTAACTTATGGACCTACCTCGTTCACCAGCCTGAAAAGAGGACCTTCCCATTCGAAGAAACCCACCTGGCCCTGGAGGTTCATGTTCCGTTCAGAAAAAGAGTACTCCGCCTCATGGAATAGGACACGGGATCTTTCCGTGTAGCTCCGTTGACTGTCTATGATAGCATGTTTTGGTTGGTTGAGTATGGTTGATTTGCTCTCCAAAGAAAGTCCGAACCCGGTGGAGGTCAGTGGTCAGTACGGTATGTTCCGACAAATTTCCTGGTTGATTGCGGGTTCCAAGGCCGGGTCATGGCTGGGTCCCGGAATGGCTTGCAGGCACGCTCCTTGTTGGAGAAGGCCCGGCTGCGCAACCCAGGCAGGGGCGGGTGGCGACAGACGACAGAAGGAGGAGGACGACCCAACGCGCGGATCGGGTTATTCTCCTAGTGGCTTTAAACGTAGATCACCTGAAGCATTACGGATGCAGCTGGATATGTGACTTTCGCTTTCAGAAGATTGGTCTTAAAATGTCTTGAACTCAAATCTCAGTCTCATGATCAAACTGCCCCCATGTGCCACGTGATTGCTCCCTTGCAACTACTCACTTAAGCATGTGCGATCCGTTTGGTGCCCACATGCTTCTCCGACATGTTGTTCTATAAAATGGAACGCTTTTTGGTGGATCACGTACGATCACGTACCACCCCTCATCTATACTCATCTTCGCGCGCTCTTCTCGAGGCGCCGACCTCTTGTGGCTCAAAGGCGTCGAGGCACCGGCGACGTGTGGCGACGTTGCTGAGCGAGCCTGATTTCAGCGATGGATTTCCACATCCACTCTTTCAAGAATGATATACATCGCTGGAGATGCACCCACAAAGGCGAATATCCCGCATGATGGACATGTATAAACTATAGACATGCAAAGACGGTCTTCTTTTTCTCACGTGCGATCCTTCCGCATCCATCACGTGCGGCCCTCGGCTTGATCAGGTGGAGTTGTTGGATGGTAGCGAGCGCTTGTCGCACCATCTCATGAGCAAGGCCTTGCAGGATCCGACGGATCTGACGGATCGGAGGGGATCGGAGGGATCCGAAGAACAGATTGAAACGGATCCCTTGGCCACGGTATTATGTTGTCTTTACAACAAGTATAAGATTGAAACCGTTGGTTGTTGTGTGTTGTATGGTGTCTTCGGTTGATGCAGTGGTGAGATGTGGTGAGCCTTCTTTTGGAAGCCCAGCAACACCACGCCGGTTGGTTCACTGAGTGTCCTGACAGACAAGAGGCTCCTCCTATTCACTTCCAGTCGGCCAAATTTTTGCAATTGTCACAACAAATCTTCAGGTGTCAGCATGGTTTCCCTCCTACTACAGGTGTTTCGAGGGCCTCTTTGAGACACCTCATATCAAGCACTACCAACTACTCAACTACTTCTCAGCAGTTTTTGGTCGTAACCTGAACTCCGGTTTTTGCCGTCACTCCCGGAGCTCCGGAGCTCGGCGCGGGAGCTCAGGAGTGCCCCACCAGCGGCATTCTATGGGCAAAGGCTGGGAACGAGAGGCTTCGTAGATTTGGCCGATGCAACCACCGTCATCTTCAAAGCAGACGTTCACGAAGCATGGGGGTCGTGTTCACCGATTGTCAAGACCCGGATTGAAGGGGAAAATGGATGGAATAATTCGTTATATACACATGTGTAGTGCCTAGGATTACTAGGATTGTTGACCGTTTCCCTTCACGTTTATCCGTTTGTCTCCAAGTCACCCCTCAATGCAAGGAAGGAAGGAAGTTGATCACTCATTGGGACAAAGATAGGTTTTTGATGTTGAGAGAAACTCGTCTTCAATGGTGATTACATGTGATTACATACAATATAGTATATGATCATTTGATTGCAATGGCCCACCCCTAAGTCTAGGATTCAGTGTTGATCGATTGAATCCACGATTCTCGACCATGACATAGGCATATAATATATGGGTCAGAACCCCCTGATTCCCAAGGAAAACACCTGAACCATGAATAGACCAACTATGAAAGACTAACTATTGCCCTGAAAGAATATTCACCCGAATGGGTTCCCTTTTTTCCCAGAATTTTCGCATTGTTCTCGTATCTCTCCAAGTCGATCCATGTCCGAGCCGTGGAGAACGACGGGTTGGACTTGACCAGAACGCAGGCCATCGAGCTGGAGCCGAAGCAGGGGCAAAACGCCAAGAGCCCGGCGCCCGGCGGTCGGAGGTGCCGGCCGGTGGATTCCAATTGGGGTGACTACCCGTCAGTGGATTGGTAGAGTTGGAGCGTGGTTTTTCCAAGACATGGGCAGCTGGATAAGAGGTGCATGCCACCATATTGGAGTCCCCTTGTCAAAGTCAACTCCCGAGGTTTTGGATGCTGTTATGGAGATTGATTCCCTTCAAGCCCAAGATGTCCGAGCAGAAAACCAACTCTGAATCAGGCAAGTGAGGGTCCATTAACATCTCAATGTTGGGATGTTTCTCTATCATGATAACGACCCCCCTGTCTTTGAAAAACATGTCAGAATCTGCGCTTCCCACATCACAGAAAGCAGACAACCTGCCACATGACATATGAACCTTGATGAAAAGAGCACCTGCCACACATGAACCTGAACAACTGCCACAAATGAACCTGGATCAACCGAACACCTGCCGCACATGAGCCTGAGCAACTGCCACACTTTGACCCGAGCAACTGGATACAAATACACAAAGTAAAGCCTGCTCAACCCGAAAGCTTTCTTGCCACGTTTTGAGCTGGTGTGTCTCTAGCCGGATGTTCCAATGAGGGTATGTTCCAGGTCTTTCTAACTCCTTGAAAACACTGTAGATTTTTGGTCATGTCAGCTCTTTGCGCTGCGCTGTCCCGGGTGTAAGGCTGCTCACTGCAGAATTCAATGCTTGTTTGTTGAAAGCAAAGTTCCAAGGAGATATAGTATTTATATTGCCTGGCTGTGCTTGAGGTGGTTTTACTTGTTCCCTATGCGTAATTCCTCTTCTAACGAATAGTTTTCCGGGCTCCTCAAGCAAATCCAAGGTTGGCATGAAACAACAAATCTGACAGACACACAATCTATTGAAACAACAAACCTGATAGATACACCAGCCTATTGTATACTGGCACTGGCAGTGGTACAGTTACATTCATGTATACTTAGTATACTCGTCATTGTTTTGTTGCTATACTAGCATTGAATCATAATCTTGAATAGTATTGGCCTGTTGACGCATTTTACACCCTGAAAATTGTCACTCATGCTGCATTTTTGGAACTCTATAGGGCACAGATGAACCCTGGGTGTCGCAATGGACTTTTTGGATATGCAGATGCAGCATCAATCCCTGACTACCTACCTCGAGAAACCTGTGGGCATGGATCAGGAGATGCCTAGCCATGAAAGACATGATGATGGTGGAGATTCCGGTGTTGCGTTGCTGCCAGTTCAATTGGCTCAGCCTTCCATGAAATCATGTTCCCAACCTCTTGTGAAAACTCTTGGGCTTGCTCGACAAAATGCAAAGAAGACCTTTTTATCTGAGCGGGGGGCATGGAAGCTGGCCATGCAGTTGCATCAAGCTTCATCAAGCAAAGCAGAAACTTGTTCTTTGCTCAGTAGCTTAGTGCGAAAGTCCACAAGCCATGCTGTGAAAATCAAGAGGACCAAGAAAGGAGGATTGTTTACCGAAGGCCTGGTGAACCTTGCTCATCGCAAGCTCGTAACCAAAGGCGACCGGTGGCATGGAAGATCTTTTTGTTGTTGGAGACTTTGACACGGTTGCAATGAAGGCCTCTCAGCTAAGAAAGCTGGCGGATTTGAACCTGCGCCTTCTTGTCAGCTTTGATCTTAATGGGTGTCTTGAGCAGAATGTGGACATGCCCTTCAAGATCAACTTGAGTGCATGACCAAGCATTTCAGACTTGCAGCGTTGCATGTGAGTGGATGAAGCCTGAAAATGACTTAGTATTTTACGCTGGCAGGAATCTAGAATTAGAAGGAAGGTATGTAGAAAGTAGAACAATCTGAAATTGATTTTCAGCCTACGTGGAGGTCGCGAACTACACTGACTGACGATTGCTGATACAAAGGAAAGAATGAGAAGAATCAATACAATAACCAAAGCAGACTAGATAGTATCTGAATAATGTAGAAATTTATAGCAACCAATCGCTGAAGAAATTCTTGGCTTGGAAGACAGCTGCTTCCACGGTCTTCCACGGGCACTCAAGAATCATTGGGCCATTGGGTCTTCTTTGGAGTTCTGCTCCTCGCAAGTTTCTACAATGGCTTCACGCGACAAAAGAGGAAGAGACCAAGAGGAATGAGGCGAAGGGGAAGCAAAGTTGCTTTCAGTTCCTGAGGGATGCGTTTGGCGACGTGAGCTGCCAGGGCATCTTCGACTCCTTCGCTAGATTGGCAAGTGCTGCAATCTCACAGCAACTGAAGCCTTTGCGCAATTTGCTCTCAGGCATGGTATGGATGTGAGCTTAAATGAGCTTCAGTCCCAAGACTGATGAGTGGCCGAAAGGCTATTGCATCACAACCTTCTGCGATGTATTCTTCATGAAGACAGATGAAATCAAGACACCCAAGCTGAAGATTGAACGAGTGGTGGCATTCCAGCGATTCCTGGCTGCTTGTCTACGAACACTTTGTCAATGTTGTTGTTGACTTTCGTATCCAGCCTTAAGCTGACAACTGTGACAGATAAAGACCAAGTCTGCTTCAAGTGAGCTGCTTTCACAGACGGATTATTTGTTGGATGTTTGCAGAATATCAGGCTGTTAGCTGGCATCAAGAAAGGCATCTCTGAGCGCAAGCTCAAAGACCAATATGGAGATGAATGCAAAAGGATTGAAGAGTTCTATGGTGATTGCTCCCTGGAGGCCAGTGCCACACTTGTTGGCCCTGATAGAGCAAGCCGCTGCAGAGATACAGGTCCTCTCCAAAAGGAGAGAGGATTCAGTGGCTCTTGCATCGAGAAGCTCTTTGCTGAGGCTTTGAACGGCAGAGTCTGTGGGAAGTTTGAAGAGTTCTATGGAGCAATTTCTGAGCCTTCGTCGGATTTTGTGTGCACTGTTCCAAGTCGACTTTCAGCTTTGCGCGCACTGCTTCTCAAATGCAAAGGCAAAATGAAGCAAGGCATCGAATGCCAAGCCAGTGTGTCAATTTCGGTATACGCCAACCTCTGTCCGCAACAGTTCAAGGTGTGGTTGCAAAAAAGGAATGCAACAAACCGAGCAACCTTTTGGTCAACCCTCTCAGTCGATCATTTATTTGTTGCCCACCCTCTCCGAACTAAGTCACCCCGCTTGCAGGCATGGAGGGTGTGCCAGCGGCGGAGTTTCAGAAGTACCCTGTACATCAATGAAATGTTCTGTTGAAGTTCTGAGCGCGAGCGGATGGGCAATGATTAGTACAGTCCAATAGCTTTTGCGCTGGTAAGTTATGCGATTCGGAAGATGACGCGCCCTCGTGAGCAACTATGACCATGACAACGATAGCACGCCTCCAAATTTCCAAAAATACGTACTTAAACTTTCTGAAGCTTGATACACAGTCGAGGTTGCTAGCGCCGCTAGCCTTATTATACCTGATGGTAGCATGTGATAGTCGCATATTTGGTAGGTTTTTGCATGTTTGATGGCTCAATCATACATGCGCATATGTTTTGTCAAAGCACAACGGTAGATGAATACAAGTCAGGAAAGCAAAGCAGAGGAACTCCAGTGCTGCAACGTGGCAGTGAAGGGTGAGTTCATGAGGAGAAAATGTGGCGGCGGTATGCGTCGCGGCCTGCGGCAGTACAGGGTGGGTCATGTGGCAGCTGTGTGTCAGCGATATTTTGAGGCCACAATATGCTGACATTTGTCTGAAAGAAAATCATGGAAGAGAAAACTCTAGACTCTAAATCTCACTGTGAACAAACAAAAGATGTGTTGTGGATGAACCAAAGCATCCCAAGCCTACCGAACCCACCGCCGGAGAACAGATTGACTTGCCAGGGCTTGGGATGGCTTTAGGTTCTTGGCCAATCTAAAACCCCATGTAAGGAGTTTTATATAAAACAGCTTTTCAGATGTTGTTAAAACCATCCGCGAAAGATTCGCTAAGAGGTGCGTGAAAGTATTTTCCGCGAAAGGTTTATCGAAGGTCATCGCTTTCATATGTTTTCCTTTTACCGACCAACAAAGAAATACAAGGAAATCCTCCGGCAGAGCCGGTGGGCGGAAGTGTCCCCGCATGTCCCCATTGGCCCATCATCATTGAACTGAAGCCTCAACATTTCGGTGCCCAGCCCTGGCAGTGCGTAAAGGATTCTCCGAGCTTCGCGAATGCGCCGCTACAGTGGAGGCCCCCCAGCATTCCCTAAGCTGCGTCACCCTGTTTGGTAGCTGGCACGAGGATTGGGTTGAGTTGTGCTTGATTATATTTGCACAGTTGTCGCACAGATGCTGCAAGTGACCCTGAGTATAGCTGTGGAAACTCTCAACCTTCTGCTGGGGAAACGCTGCAAGATGTTTGTCCCTTTTTTTATGACACTATGAATAGTCCTGGCTCGTGTTAGCTAGACTTGGTTGTAGGACCATGCTTCGCGATGAGGCCATGAAAGATCCGCGAAAGATATCTCTTTTTCCGCGAAGCATGGCCATTCCAGGATGAAAGAATATTGATCAACCGCCCAATGACAACGATGCAACAAAGGATGGTAGTGGAAGAGACTATGCTCTGCTTGCTGCGTCTGACAAGGGCCGGGCCGCTTGGAAGTAGTGCAGTTGCTGCCCGAGGCTGCCGCTACAAACGCAACTGGGAGCACAGCTTTGCTCGCCGCAGCCGCCTTGCTCATCGCCAACAAGAATGACAGGGTTGAAGTGCAAATGGTGTTGCATAAGGAAGGACCTATAGGTCCAGTTGCAGTCCCAACTTCACGCAGGCACCAACAGATTGTGATCAGGTTGCACAGGCCAGAGCAGCATACGAAGCCAATGCGGACCTTTAGTGCTGTAGCGACGCAATTGTCGTCAAAGCACGACCGCAGGTTTAAAAGAGTGTGCTGCGTTCGTCCTGTGACCATGGCTGTTGTCGGGAATCCTCGTTAAACCACGGACAGGGTTGCTCACGGCTGTTCAATTAATCTAAATTTGTAAACTGGCTGTTTGGCGACAACCGTGAAAGTATCGTTTGGACATGGGTTGCGACCAGCTTGGGTGTGAGTCAGATCAGGCAGCTTACTTGTGATGTTCCCCGCGCTTGACACCTTACCACACCTACTTCATCCTACTGTTTAAGGAGCGTAAGCCTGTCATCGTGCTCACACCTTAAGAGTGCGCTAAATTCGCCCCACTTGGGTATAGGTGAGTCATGGCGAATTTAGAGCCGTCCCTGGTAGGTCTCAAGTCCCAGCCGACCAAACACTTGATAGGGCACACCCATGTCATTGATGTCTCCATAGGTCCAAAGGTTTGGTCGCGGAAGTGGTTATCCTAAGGTGGAACAAAATGATTACTGTAAGGGCTGTTTTAGTTAGATTGCTTATAGCTTTAGCTAACGAACTACAGGTTAAGTTGTTCTTCAATAACTTAACTTGTAATTCAATAAGTCAGGCTAAGTAGTTGTAACTATGTTATGCTTTTCTTTTACTTAAAGTTACTTGCTCTTGAAAAGTTTGATATCAGTATTTCATATTTGTGCGCATCTTATTTGTAGAGTATATGATGCCTTAGAGATGAACTAGTTACAACTACTTGTTTGGAAGTTACAACTAGTTAGTAGGCATGTTTTACGTAGAAGATTGGTTAGTGCGACGCATATTAGCAGATTTTGGTTCAGAGCGTGGGCGCGTACACCATGTCTGCAGAGATAGGAGTGAAAATCTCGAAAGCGAAGGGGCATCTGGATTCTCCACTAAATCGTGTATAATGTATACATACATATAAACATATGGAATCTGGTCGTTTGTAATGTTGGCCCGATATCGGCCACTCCCTGTGAGACAGGGTCTACGCGGATGTTGGCCCCATTATCCGCCTTACACACATATATATATATATAGTAATAACAAACGCGAATGTCGGCCGCCGCCTTTCAGGAAATTGCAAATTTGTATACGGTATATTCGCAATCCACTTTTGTTTCAGCGCAAGTTTGGACGGAGAATCCAAATGGACCACAGTGGTTTGGTGGAAACCTGTCGAAAATACACGTTACTGCATCCACTAACGGGTCTTGCAAAACCACAAAAACAAATACGACAAAAGAAATCTGCGGAAAAAAAATATGAAATCAATGAAAACGTTTCAAGTTATTAGTTCATAGATATAGACTATTTATCAATTAACTTGCCAGCATAGATATAGACTAAAACAACCCATATAGGACCCATTTCATCCGAACTCCTGCGATGTCCCACTCTAAGGTTTTTTCACCTTCAATTGATGAGTCACACCAAGTGCGCTGAACATCCCTGAGCCATTTTTAGGTGTGGATGCCTTGAAGAAGTGTGAGAACGACGCCCACGTGATCATTGCTGTGGCCCGGGCAACCTGATCATTGCTGTGGCCGGGGCAAGTCCCAACAAATGTGTTTCAAAACATACAGAGTTACAGAGTTTCTTTGGGTTGCACCAGATCCAATGAGTCAGTTTGTCGCCAGAAAACATTATATTTTGCAACATGCTATATGGGTTTTCACCATCTATTGCATCAATACCAAAAGTTGGAAACATCTTTGTGGGAGTTAGAATCGAGGCCGACAACCGTTTGAGTTGCTCTGGTTTGCGTATGTTTGGGTGTTTCAGGTTGAATGGTCAACTCTGAAACTTGGAAAGCAGTAAATTCCACAGTTGAGGTTCCTGACCTCACTGGGGGGCATGCACTCAACCTTTAGGTTACCTTAACTGGGACCCCAAGCTGTAGGCGAAATAGCTCTGTGTTGGAAACGAAGTAGTTGTTTGCCAGGCCAAGCTCTTCTGGCGCGATGGAAAGAACGCCAAGGCACGCAAATGGCCCGGGCACCACAGAGGTGGGGAGCTGGTTGCGGCCGCGGGTTTGGATGTGTTTGATCCATTTGGGTCCTGTAGGTTTGGTGACCAGTTGTGTGTCCTGTCTAGCAATTACAGTGGCAAAAATCAAAACGCAATCCTGGAATCATCATCCAATGTTATGGTAAAGGTACTGGCACTGTGCATATATGTCAGCGGGCTGCGGCACTTTTTCCGTGCGGAAAGATGAGGTTTTGATCATGTTAATCTCGGAACCACCAATTTTTGTGCATGTGTTGTTGTTTGCACAGAAAACTGGAGCACTGAAACACCTGTTGAATGGTCTTAGAAGGTCTGTTGAATGGTCAGGATTCTGCCTGGTTGGGAAATGGGGTCAGCTTCGTTTGAGTCGTATCACCGCACGTGCGTTCGTTCCTTCTCCTCACGCGTCCTGGTGCGCACGTCCGTTTCATGACGGAATTGGATCCAACAGGTCCCACCTATTGGTACAAAAAGGTCATGTTTACCATGGACGGTTTTTATTTTAGACAACTTCCCCAGGTGCCAGAGGTGTTTGATGCAAGGCACCGCCTTTTGAAGATCGATGATGCTTCCCCACAATTGGGTCCCTTCCTTGTTAATGGAGATCAATTTGACGTCCCAAACCGCTTTGGGGCGTTTGCTGCCAGCCCGAGGTTCAACCGCGCAGTGACCCTCAACCCTCGTTTGGGCGATGTGCCTTGGATCACCAGTGGCAAGTTTGACAGTTGCTTCTGAAGATAGTTGATAGTAGGGTGCCATTTCGATTGCTCCTGTTCTTCCCCAATTAGGTGCCAACTGCCCACATCAAAAGTTATGGGATGCCCTTTAATTACTTTATACTTTACTTGCGCAAACCCATTGTGCTGCACCGGCTGACAAACTATATACGTAGCCTTAAAACTATTGCTGGACAACCTTAATTGAATAGAGAGCGTTTGGATTGGACTTCTCCGGGAAGAACGATGCTCACTGTTCTTGCCTTTCCCCCAAATGGGAAGGAATATGTGTACACTACGGCTCTCCATATCTTGGACTTTTGTCCTGATTCGATCGCCGGACAGCATCTTTAGCTGGCAACCTACTCATTAGCGATGAATCATGAAAGATCATTGAAAGATTTCATGTAAAAATAACTACACATACATTTATGTATATTCTTAACCAAAAATAACAATAACACCCTTCAAAACCCTTCAAACCCGTCCGACCCCCGACCTCGCTGTCGGCACCGAGGCCTGGGGCGCCTATTTGGCCTTCGAGCTCGAGAACGGCACCTCCCATGAGCAACGCGAGGCGCGGTCCCAAAACGGCACCTCCTACTGGGTCGAGCGTGGGTCGCGCTGGGACGGAGGAAACGGAGGAAAATGACGAGAGAGGAAGGAAATGGAGTCAATGCTGGTGACACAGTGGTGAAGAAAATGATGTTTGTGCCTTTGAGGGCTTTTCTTTGGGTGTTGCATTCCCCCAATGAAATCCTAGTTGGTTCACCCAATTGAGTGGATGAGATTGGTCACGCGGTGATGCCCACCGTGTGGGCCGTCTGATCCCCGATCCCCAGGTGATCCGCAAGTGCGTGGATGCCGAGCCCAACCAGGCGAACGACGCGGGGGACCCGCGAACGACGCACTCATGGGACCCTTCGAGTGGTCTCGCATTGGCTATGAGTGGAATGGAATGGGGCTAGGATGAAGATGCATGGGTTTGGCGTAGCGAACATCCTAGATGTATCAATGATGTATCTGTATCTACATACGTATCTATATGAGCAACAGCATTTATTTACCGACATAAAGAACAGTTAGGAGCTGGCTATTTTTGTTTTCAGAAACGTCGTGGCCCCGCTGCACGAAGACGAGATCTCCTGTGCTGTTTGCATCCAAACGATGCCGTAGAAAACGTGAATAACGAGATCCAGACAAGCACCAAGAGCAGTTTCATTTCAAGATAGGGAAATGCGACCTCAACCAAATTTAGTATTAAGTAAAAGTCGTCGCTCATATGTCATTAAGAGCAAGCTCCGGCAGGCAGATGTTCAGTGCGTTAAGGTTCTTGTTCCAAACTCACTGAGTTATCACCTGTGAAGGTGGTTTAGCAGGGATAAAACACAGGTCACTGCCCGATGAACGCCTGCAACCTCAAAAACATCACCACTTTGTGATATTCATCAGGAATCACAGGTTAAATCTACTTAGAACAGAGCACAACCTCCAACATTGGATCACAAGTCTTCAACAATCGCAACTGCCTTTCTTCAGAACATTTGCTTTGGATGACGGGCAGTGAACCGAGTGCTGCCTCAAGGAGGAGAGTACTCTTGAAAGGTTGTGGGTTCCACGTTCCACGAAAGTGTGTGCCCCACTCTACGGTAGTTTGCATGACTTTCTCCAACTGGTAGATCTATAGATTTGAGTCAGAATCCGACCCCTGCAGACGAACAGGGATGTCAATCTATCATGGTGTTTGGGTAAAAGAATTGATGCTTCTTGACTCAAAATCACGCATGGCACCTTCTCAGCCCGTTTGGCTCGAACCTGCCATAAAGCCACGCTTCTGAACCGGTGGCAAAAGGACGTTTCTCGACCATGGCAATGCCAATACAGCAGCGGCTCGGCAAAGCACCAACAAAATATCTTACTTTGCCGTTGGATATCGGATGCACTGGCAAAGTGCTGGGATATTGAGAAAATCATGGCCTGGAGCGGAATACATTAGGTAGAATCAGTAGACTTCTCCAGGCAGGGTCGCTTCCCACAGTCAAAGATGGACCTTCATGGGTCATTCTTGGTCCAGCTGTAGAGCTCTTCAGTGCATCAGGGCAAAGTAAATGTTCTGTTTTAAGAGACGTCACTGAATCACCATTGCACGACTTCTACTAGCCTGTATGTTCGAACCAGGTTCAGGATGTTCACCAGTTCTGAGGTTGATTTTTCCCCATCATGTTTCCAGTTCCGTTTGGAGGATGGGTTTGGATCAACGCTTGGAGCTCATGGAATTGGAGCTCCAAAATTTGCGGCCGCTGGGCGGCCGAAAAGCGCGTTTCACGAGTGCAATTGGCGAGACGACGCGACGTGCGACATGGAGACGTATTTGTTTGGCAGAAATCAAGAAACATGATCAAGACGTGGTGCTTGGATGCGTTCTTGTGGAGCAGAAAGATATGTCCCCGGTATGTCCCCTGAGCTTGGCCTCTCACAGACATCATTTACACACACACACATATATATGATTCTACGGCCCCGTTAGATAAGAAGCTTCAATGTTACGTTGATTCCGCAGTGTTTCTCTTCAAGCTGGACTTTGGATGGTTCGCTGTCGCCTGTGCTTAACCTTTGAGCACGAGCCAGGTGCAGTGAGCTGTTCCGGTTGCAGGGCCATACGGAGGATCCGCGACTTGTACTGCGGAGGGTTCTTGGTCAGAGCCCAAGAGAGCCGTGGATTGGAGATCCTACGGTCGTGTGTCGGAGCCCTCACGGACTTGGCAGAGGAGGCAGCTCCAATCCTGGAAAAAGAGCGGCAGGAATCAGGACCCTCCGAAGCAGCTACTGCACCCAAGACTGCTGGACCTCTCGGGGAGCCCGTGGCCCCTGTCGTTGGTCGGTTGCTTGAGTCGGAGAAGGAGGCCGCGGAGTTCGTGAAGACCGAGGAGGACGAGAAGAAGGACGAGCAGACAACCCCCGGGGTAGGAGAGCTGCCAACAGAAGGTGTTGAGACTGAGGTCAAAGCAGAGGGAGAGGAGTCAGCCAAGCCCAAGAAGAAGAGGAAGAGAAAGCATATAAGCCGAGGCCCTGAGCAGAAGGACCAAAGGCGGCGAAGGAGAGAAAAGAAGGCAGAGAAGGAAGTGACCCCCGCTCCTGAGGAGGGAGCAGTTGAAGCAGCGGCGGAAGAGGCAGCCGTTGCAGAGCCTCCCCCGGAGGTTCCAGCCGAGGTACCGCCTGAGGTACCACCACCTCCACCGGAGGTACCAGAGCGGCGAGGACCCCTTGGTCTTGTACCGGCGCCGAAAGGCACGGTCAGCAAACATTTCAACCATTTCCAGTACTTGCCAAGGCCGCCATCTCCGCCTAGGAGACCCAGGTCGCCGAGCCAACCCCCACCAGGGTATCACAGCAGTGACACTCGAGGCCGACGAGGACCACCATCGAGGTCGAGATCATACTCGGAGGCAGGCGCCCCTGAGAAAAGGAGACGAGGCTCGAAGGGAGTCAAGCATCGGGAACGCGGCATTCAACGCCGCCTTGCAGGGTTGCAATAGCAATGGCTCCAAAAGCCAGAGCAGAGGGGAAAGCCGCTGCCAAGGCCAGAGCCCGAGGAGTGAGGTTGAGGCCAGCCGCCAGAGGAGTGTTGAGACGGCCTGTTCATGGCCCCCTGGACGGAGCTCCTGGTCCTCGGGAGCTCTGGAGGGAGGGCGGCGAGGTTGCAGTCCACGAGATTGGAGTCGAGGACATGGAGATCGGCTCCTTCATCGCCTTCACCGACGCCTCATACTACGGAGCCAAGATGAAAGTGGCTGGCACTTTGAAAGGGGTGGATGTGCAGCCGGAAGCGATTCACTACCACCTCAACGTGACGGGTACGACATCAGAAGGCCTGCTCAAATACCAGAGCGGGAGACCAGGGACCATGATCAGGATTCACCGTTGCCCGACCACGTGCACGGGCGAACGCATCGCGGAGGACTTGGTGCATGGCCTGAGGATGCAGCGCCCCTCACGGCTGGGAGGAGAAGAGGGTTGGATGCGAAGTCTCGAAGCAGTCGACCCAGTCGAACCAGGCATGGACGAACTTGGCGCCTTGCGTGCTCGGGACGCCGGTTTGGCTCCTGTTCGAGGAGATCATCCAGACGAAGGAGGAGGCAAGGCCGCCGAGGACAAGGGCAAGCATCGGAGCCCCAGCCGAAAGAAGGAAAAGAAGAAAGAGAAGAAGAGGAGCAGGGGCAGGAGTTCGAAAAAGAAAAAGAAAGGGAAGCATCGCAGTCCGAGCCCGAAAGACAAAGAGGACAAGGCCGAGAAGGCCAAGAGCAGCAAGAGGAAGAGGTCGAGCTCTACCTGCAGCAGCAGATCCGCAAAGCTGGATGGAAGGCAACCCCGTCTTGCATCCATGAAGGACTACGACAACCTGTACGCGGGGACAGGGTTGGACAGGAGAGAAAAAGTCCGACGAAGAGTTCTCCATCGTGCCAAGAAAGCTGCAAAGCGCAAGACCAAGGACAAGACGAGTTCCGGGAGCGGAAGCTCCTCGTCGAAGGAGACCAGCGACTTTGGCGAGGAGGTGGAGGACACCCTCTTCGAGGGGGAAACAAAGATACAACGGGTAGCGCAGAGGGCTCCTGGTGCGTTGGCATGGCAAGCCATCACAAAGATGCGTGCCAACCTGTTGCAAGAAGCGGGAGCCGAGCAGGAGAGAGGCTCCTTGGGACCGGTGGCCATGCTCTACATGAGGCAGCACCTCCAAAGGCGGGCCACAGGGCCGGCCGCCAGGGAGCTCTTGACGCTGGCAATGGCTGCAGACATGATGTTGAAAGCAAGGCCCGCCAAGGCCCTCGACGTTTTACTGCAGAGAATGAAGGCGGTAGAAGCGGGACTCATGGGAAGTCACTGGTCAGTGACACAACGGTTGGAAGTCGGGCCGGGCGACCTGTTGAGCATGACGGGACAAGAGGAATTGGTTTCAGCGCAACGTGCAGCCCACACCGAAGCACGGACCCGCATGCTCGCATCCTATCCCGAGGGGCGAGCGAGGAGCGGGAAAGCAGATGGCAAAGGCAAAGACAAGGGACGCGACAAGGGCAAAGGAAAAGGAGGCAAGGAGAAGGGCAAGACTCACCCCAAGGAGGATCAGCAGAACAAGTGAGGACTCCTGGTGGCGGGAGTGTTTTGAGGAAGAGTATGATGGGATGCATTGAGCAGCCGGGAGACGGGACTCCTGTACAGGTTGGAGACCTGGGTGGAGCACTGGGAACCGGTGCTGTCGAGCTTGAAGGGAGCTTGAAGGCTGTGGTAAATCAGCCTGCTACGATGTCGACCTTGTTGGGAGACAGGGCACTACGATCCTTTCCACCGATGCCCCCGCCGTTTGTGAGCGAAGAGGGTAAGGTGAAGGCGCCTGACGCCTTTGAGAAGTCGGCGCAAAAAGAGTGCGAGAGTGTGAGTTTCGTCGGTCGACCTATCTCGGAGCTCGGGGGACTACTAGTTCGTTGGTTCATGGAGGTTTCACCACTTCGCAGCCAGTCCACGGGCAGGGGAATCACTAAGGCTGTTTTTCCTTTGCCCACCTCCATTGAGCTTTTTAGGGACTTGTGGCCGTCCGGGTCCGAGCAGGTTTGGCAGTGGATGGTGTGTGTTTGCACCGGGTTGAATTCGTTTTGGGGAGGACCCCCTTGCAACGTTTCAAAGGCTTCAGAACTGCAAAGAAAAGTGATGAGGGGGCTTTACATTGAGGTCGAACGGTTTTGTGAACTTGGATTGAAGAGCGTTGGAGTTGATTGGACAACGTTTTTCGCTGTTCGAGGAATAGATTACAAAGGTGAGGAGGTGAAGGTCGCAAAGTGGGTCACATGGGCAAACATCGGGCCGGCGCTGCCAAAGGAGATTGGGGCAGTGCCGCTGGAAGAGGTGTGCTCCTTGGGATGTCGGGAGTATGTTGAGTCGTTCGATCGGTTCCTCAAGCCTTGCAATCTTTGGGGTAAGGTCACACAACCCAAGGTCATGGTAGAGGATGCTGCCTGGGGTGAGATGTGTTCAGGGCTTGTCAAGTCGGGTGTCTGCTGTTATCTAGAAGAATCGGAGGTCTTTCATATCGGGAGTACCCCCCTCCTGAACGGACTATTTGGCGTTTCTAAGGAGGAGTGGACACCTGAGAACGTTGAGATTTGCAGGTTGATTATGAACCTGGTGCCATTGAATGAGTTGTGTGAACCCCTCGGCGGAGATGTTGACACACTCCCTTCGTGGGGCATGATGAATCCCTACTTCCTCCAGCCCAATGAGAACCTGTTAATCTCCTCCGAAGATGTGAAGTGCTTTTTTTATACCATGCAGGTGCCACGCTGCTGGACAAAGTTCTTGGCATTCAACAAGGTTGTTCCCGATCATGTCTTGCCACCCGAACTTCAAGGGCATACCACCTACCTTGCGTCAAGGGTCTTACCTATGGGGTTCCTGAACTCGGTGAGCATTGCTCAGCATGTCCACAGGAATCTGGTACGTTGGTCAACGGTGGAAGGTAGGGCTGCGCACGTGGATGAAGCCGAGCTGCGGAAAGATAGGAGCTTCACCGTGGCTAACCCTTGTTGGCGTGTTTACCTAGACAACTATGACGTTCTCGAAAAGGTAGAGGCAACTGGCATGGTTGAAGTTGAAGGAACGGTGCCGGAAGGGATTCTGGCACTGCGCCAGGAGTATGAGCGATGGGAGATCCCGAGGAACGAGAAGAAAGCAGTCGAGCGTTCATCCAGGTGTGAGCTTCAGGGCGCAACGGTCGATGGACACCGTGGAGTGGCCATACCCAAAGAGGCAAAGCAGGAGAAGTACTTCAGCCTGGCAATCACACTGGTGCAGCAAAGGAAGGTCAGTCAGCGCCAGATGCAAGTCGTGTGTGGTGGACTAGTCTACTTCTCGATGTTTCGAAGGCCAATGTTGGGTACGCTCAATGCCGTTTGGCGCTTCATTGAGAGCTTCAACAATGTGGAGGCGAGGTATCAGGTCCTGCCGCAAGAGTGTAAGTTGGAACTCATCAGGTACCTCTGCCTCATGCCGCTGGTCCGCATGGACTTCCGCACGGAGGTGCACCCGATGGTGACGTGCTCGGACGCATCACTGAGTGGTGGAGGAGTTTGCTGCTCGTCTGGTCTGACTTCGGTGGGCACCATGGCCGTGGAAGGTGGTCTGCGGGGGCAGAGACCTCAGCCCCTGGATTCGTTGCAGGTGGTGGTAATAGGACTCTTCGACGGGATCGGGGCGCTCCGGGTGGCCACTGAGCTACAAGGTGTCTCGGTCCTGGGCTACGTCTCGGTGGAGAAGGAAGCAGCCGCTCGCAGGGTTGTTGAGACGCATTACCCGGGTGTCCTTCACTATGATGACGTAGCAGCGGTGCAGGATGAAGATGTCAGGGGATGGAGCCTAAAGTTCTCACAAGCAGCACTGGTTTTGATTGGAGCCGGTCCACCGTGCCAAGGCGTGTCGGGTCTCAACGCCGACCGTAAGGGGGCGCTGCATGACGCTCGCTCCTGCTTGTACGTCCACGTCTCAAGGATTACGCAGCTGGTCAAGGGGCACTTCCGATGGTGCCAAGTGCATACTTTGATGGAGAGTGTCAGTTCGATGGACCAAGTCGACAGGGACCACATGAGCCGTGACTTCGGTGCGCAACCGGTGCACATCGATGCAGGGACCCTCACGTGGTGTCACAGGCCACGCTTGTACTGGTGCACTTGGGAACTCGTCGAGGGTGAGGGAGCCACCCTAGACACATCACAGATGGTCAATGTGTGGTGGCTGGTGGCCAGGCAGGAGCTGGCGGAGGTTGTTGAAGCAGGTTGGGACAAGGTGGTACCTACTGCGTCTTTTCCTACCTTTACAACTTCCAGGCCGTCGTCGACCCCCGGAAGGAAGCCAGCAGGGTTGCGTGAGTGTGCGGCTCATGAGCTCAAACAGTGGAGAAATGATCTCCATCGGTTCCCGCCTTACCAATATATGGACAGGCATAGCTTGATCAACCGCCAAGGAGAGCTCCGCGTGCCAACCGTCGCTGAACGTGAGGTCATGCTAGGTTTCCCGGCTCACTATACGGCAGGGTGCTGTTCCAAGGGCGATCGCAAGAAAGAGGGATACCTGGATCGGAGGCTTACATTGCTTGGCAACTCATGGAGCGTACCGGTGGTTGGTTGGCTCCTAAGCCAGTTGATCTCGCGTCTCGTGGGTGACACACCCATGACCCCTCAGGAGGTGGTTGATAAGATTCGTCCTGGAACCGCCGAGAGCATCCAAGGACGGTTGGTCAGGTTGCCCCTGCGTCGTGCTCAACCGGGGGCAGGATCGGAGCAGGAGTTGGCCTTCAAGTTGTGCAACATGGTGAGCATGAAGGGTGAGGACATATTGCTGACCACTCCGAGTACTCAACTGGTGAAGTTTCATCGGTTGAGAGCCACCATCCCGGCGAAACTCTGGCGATGGCGTGTGGTGACGGGATGGAAGTGGCGACATGGGAAGGAACACATCAACTCTTTGGAGCTCCGAGCGATTCTAAACAGTGTCCGATGGCGTATTGAGCATTGTGGACACATCAACCGTCGTATGTTGCATCTCACAGATTCTTTGGTATGTCTGCACGCTTTGACACGAGGCCGAACCAGCTCTAGGCGCCTACGGGCAACTATGTCACGCATCAACGCTCTTGTTCTCTGTTCCAACGCGCAGTTCTTTTGGGCATATGTGTCTACCGACACGAACCCGGCGGACAAGCCAAGCCGCTGGGGCTCTCGTGTCAAGACCAAGTTTAGAAATGCCTAAGCGAATTTTAGAAGGAGGAACAGAACAGGAGCGAGCAAAGATGCGAAAACAACTCGGTAGCCTCAAAGGGCTAACTGTGCAGCCTTCCACGAGGAAGAGATATGACAAAGCGGTCGATGGTTTTCTGCAGTTCCTCAAGTCAGAGAACCTCCACCTCCCTACTGATAAGCGTCGCCTTGACCCGTTGGTTTGTGACTACCTCGAGCACCTCTGGTCTACTGGCAAAGGTCGTGGGCTAGCGTGTGACACGCTGGCCGGCTTACAGGACATTCAGCCTGGACTGCGTAACCATATGCCGGCAGCCTGGAGGCTCCTGCGAACATGGCAGCACAATGAAATACCAAGCCGAGCGCCGCCCTTACCTGAGCATGTCGTGCAGGCGATGGCCGGATGGGCAATTTTTAATAACCACCATGCCTTTGCACTTTCACTGTTGATAGGATACTACTGCATGCTGCGGACTGGTGAAGTCCTGGGCTTGCTTTCAAGTCACATTGATTGTGCCAAAGGAGCTCTCCAAGCTGTTATCAGCTTGGGCTTCACCAAAGGAGGTAAGCGGCAAGGAGCCGCTGAAAGTGTGGTGTTAGGGCTCGAACCGGTTGTTCGCCTGGTCAAGGAGTGGAAGAAGGGAGTGCCGGTGGGAGCACCCATGACCTCAACGCCTCCAAAGTGGCGACAGTTGTTCAACCTTGCTTTAGAGAAGCTTGGGGTAGCTTCGTTCCAGTTTAGGCCCTACTCGCTCCGGCGGGGTGGGGCCACGTTTTTCTTCCAAAAGCACCAAAACCTGGATAGGATACTTGTACAGGGGCGTTGGCACACACAGAAAAGTGCCCGCCTATACCTCAATGAGGGCCTAGCAGTTCTGGCCCAGATGCGTTTACCCCCACAAGATTCAAGATTGAAGCCTTACTTGACCGTGTACAGGAACTTTCTCTTGCGCCCAGCCTTTCCCACACTTGAGCCTCCTGTCGGAAGAACAGGGGGACGTGGAAGGGGACCAATGAAAGCCATGAAGCGAAGAAAATGACCGTTCAA